AGATGCTTTATAAATATTGATAATGACTTAAAGAGAATTAAGAGAAGGAAGAGTGACACATCAATGAATAATTTTTAATCTTCGATTAAATCTTTTTTTACTTTTTAAAATAATCTGATTAAAATCTGTAATTGTTGACAAATGAGGGGAGGGTTATAAATTGATTTCCTAGAAAACTGAAAAAACTTCTTGAATTCTTCGGAAAATTTCACAATTTTCTAGATAACCGTAAATCTTCAAAGATTGTTCTCGAATTATTTGGGAAACCGAAGAATTTTCATGAATTTTGTAGAGTTCAGAATTTATGTATGAAAAACTGCGAAGCAAGAATTGATCATTTTTGCGTATGATAAATATGAAAAAATTAAAATTTGGGAAGTGAAGAATAATTTGTGAGTTGAAAAAATTTAGAAATACTGTTTTTTTCTCATGATTAACAATTAGGCAATTCAGATATGTTTTGATATAAAGATAAACTTCACACATGAAAAAATGATAAATATGACGCAGAAAAAATTTTCTGCATTTGAAGAATTTGAAAATACCGGGGATTTTTGTCAGCGACTACTTCACGTGACTCATTGACCAATCAGAATTGAGGATTAGCGGTCAGGCAGTTACGAGATATTTCGATATAAAACAACTTCACGTTTCTTTCATCTTTAGTAAATAGGACTAGATCTGTGCGCGCGCTTATCTTTTTGTTGTGAAAATGAAGAAATCGAATTTATTAAACCTCATATACTCATAGATGTTTTATAAATATTGATAATGACTTAAAGAGAATTAAGAGAAGGAAGAGTGAAACATCAATGAATAATTTTTAATCTTCGATTAATTCCTTTTTTTACGTTTTAAAATAATATAATTAAAATCTGTAATAGTTGAAAAATGAGGGGAGGATTATAAATTGATTTCCTAGAAAACTGAAAAAACTTCTTGAATTCTTCGGAAAATTTCACAATTTTCTAGATAACCGTAAATCTTCAAAGATTTTTCTCGAATTATTTGGGAAACCGAAGAATTTTCATGAATTTTGTAGAGTTCAGAATTTATGTATGAAAATCTGCGAAGCAAGAATTGATCATTTTTGCGTATGATAAATATGAAAAAATTAAAATTTGGGAAGTGAAGAATAATTTGTGAGTTAAAAAAATATAGAAATACTGTTTTTTTTTCTCATGATTAACAATTAGGCAATTCAGATATGTTTTGATATAAAGATAAACTTCACACATGAAAAAATGATAAATATGACGCAGAAAAAATTTTCTGCATTTGAAGAATTTGAAAATACCGGGGATTTTTGTCAGCGACTACTTCACGTGACTCATTGACCAATCAGAATTGAGGATTAGCGGTCAGGCAGTTACGAGATATTTCGAAATAAAACAACTTCACGTTTCTTCCACCTTTAGTAAATAGGATAATTAAAATCAACGTATTTTTGAGTTCGCGGCGCGTCGCGAGAGACGAGAGAGAGAGAGAGAGCGGAGGGAGAATTAGGATAATATTTACAACTGGGAGGTGAATTTTGCCGCGGGGACAAAAACGTCGGAGGGGGGGAGATGGCTAAATCGACAGCTTGGCGTCTTGTAAACACAAGCCGTTGCGATCCTGTTTGCGCTCGCTCGGGCATAATCCCCGAGTAATCCCCTTGCACAATACGGCCAGTGATGTACTCCACTGGATTTTACTTTTTTTTTTATGTATCGTTCTCTCCCTTTCCATTTCATTCTCTTTCGCACTCAATTTCCCCGGCGTAAAAAACAGCGCAGAGGATTGTTGCGGGGCGCGGAATCCACTTTCCACTCACTTTGGGATTTCGTTGGGTTACGGATATCGAGACCCTTCGGTACTCACTAATTATCGCACTTGCACGTGTGCCGGCGCAATCGTTGACTCTCTTGTGAGGGGCTACAGTATCCGGGTTGCAGAGGGAAAAAAATGTGGTTGGAAAAATTGACGGCTAATTACGAACAATTCGATGAGGTTTGTTATGTTCTATTGAGTCTGGTGAGGTTCACTGAACCCTTATGGAGAGGCAAAAATCGGTTATCATGGGACAATGAGTATTTCAGGTCAATCTCGTAAAAACTCGCGCCAAGTGTCAGCCAATTGACACAGCTGTAATTAGTCAAGGTCGAGTGAGCGTTACATTAAAAAAAAGTGTTATCAAATCTCGCGTGAGCGTGTTGTGTACTCGGCTGGCGTCAGGAAGCCCCAGTTTCGATGGTTAATTTATGGCCGGTGAAGTCATTAATCCGGTTTTTTTCCTTGTTTCAGTGAAGAAAAAGCGCTCAAAGGCCCGAAGATTCTGCCTTCGCAGCAATTGGGCGCTGCGGTCGCTCCATGGCCGGGCGCCACTGGCCTCCTGGCCTCTGTTACCGCTGACGATATGGCGCATAAAGGTGAGTAAATAGTGATAGCGTTCTGGATTGTAGATTGGAGGGGGTGAAAGGCATCCGGAGACGTGCGGATTTCAATTGAATCGAATTTGCCGAATTTTTTCAGTTGTTTAGACAGTAATTTGGGGGAAATTGAAATTATTTCTGTTGCGAAGTGGTAAAACGATACAACACTGGTGGAAATTTCTTGAAATTTCAGTCACAATGTCATCTGAATTTTCAATGTTGGGAGTTTGAATTCAATTTCAGATGAAAACGCTCACTAAATTTCTGATTCATCTTGAAAAATCAAGAAAATTGAGGTTTTCATGTCAAAGAATCATTGATTTTTCAATGAAATTTTGAATTTCCAAACTTATTGTGAAAATT